TTGCATGTACTTAATCTCCTCTTTCCCCACAGCTCCTCCAGAGAGTGCTACCACAATACCCACTCTATAGACAAGAAAGCGGAGGCTCTCAGGGGAAAAAGGGAGCTGTCCATGATTACACCTCACCTGTGGCTGACCTCGCAGCAGAGGTCCACCATTGGTAGGGGTTCCAGGCCCTGCGTTTTTTATCACTGCAGCACCTCTCCCAGTCCTCATGCCTCTCATGGGACAAAAGGTCCCAAAGCAAACCTGGTTTGTTCTATTTGCTGTACTGAGAGGGGTGCACTATAACGGTGTCTGGTGGCTGTCACTAACAGCTTACTGCCTTAAAGCAGAGAGCTCCAGGGGAGATGGGAAAGATCACTGATGGGGGAGATAGAACAATTCCACCGTCTCCAGCCAGGACAGCCCCACTCCAGCTGCCGGCATGCATGGAGGCTTCCACGAGGGTTAAGGCACATGAGCAGAGGCTATGAGGCAGACAGAAATGACTAAATGCCATATCTACATAGCAGGGACCTGAGTGTTGTGTGCCAACCTAGCAGCTAAGCCCAAGTCCAGCTATTAGAGCAAGGAAACAAAAACCCTGCAGATCAGATATGGCCCAAGACGCCTGGAATGCGACCTGTGTCAGCCGGTAAGATGATTTGAAACCTTGGCACCACGCAGAACTATAATGGATTGCTTTTATTGAAAATAATAAGTTGTCTATTATGTGTGAGAATTGAAGTTTGAATTTCAGAGGGGGAAGATGTGAAGATGTGTAAGGAAGTGCTTTTCTTTCACTAAGACTTGATCGGCTCACGGGACCTGTGAGATGCTAGGAACAGTGATGAGTCCGACATAGTCACCCAGTCCCGGACCTCATGAGCTCCCAAGTAAAGATACTGCACTGTCACAGGCTGAGCACTGCTCGAGAAGCCTATGGGGACACAGAGGAGAGGGAGGCAGGTGGGGCAGTGGAGGGGAGGTGGGCCAGGAAAGGCTGCCTCTAGCAGTCCTTGGAGAGAGCTGTGAAGTCAGCGCAGCGCACAGCAGTCAGCACTTACCAGTGAACAGAAGAGGAAATATTGAGCATTGCATGTGTGCAGTACACATGCACACAGGCTATCACATGTGCAGTCAGTAAGAAACACTCTTGATGTGCCCAAGGGTCTGCGCCTTCCCTGCTGCTGTGACAAAAAGCCCTGACAAAGGCAACTTGAGGGAGAAAGACTTTAGGTGACCCACAGTCTGGTTACAGTCCGGGGAAGTCAGGCGGCAGGAGCCTGAGAGAGCTGGTTGCAGACCCCGTGGTGCTCAGTGTGCTCTCTCCACCCGCCTCCCCCCCACAGTCCTGTCCAGGGGATGGAGACACCCACAGTAGAAAGGGCTTCTTAATTAAAGTAATCAAGGTAACCCGCACAGACACGCCCACAGGACAACCTCATCTACACACTTCCACAGTGATGCTCTCTGCCCAGGTGACTCAGAATTGTGTCAAGTTGATAATTAAAGCTAACTGGCACAGCCTAAAAGCCAAACTCAAGAGAGCATAGGTTGCCTGCGATATCCTAGGATGCTGAAGGTTTTCAAACCTTTTTAGTGAGTAGAAGGGTGAATTTAAATTATCACTGAAAGTCCAGCACAGGCCTGCATACCTATTGGGAAGATTGAAACAAGTAGATTTTCTTGAGCCCAGGAGTTCAAGGCCAACCTGAGCAACATAGAAATACTTTGTCTCAAAATAAAAGCTAATTTTCACAGTAATTCAGTACTGCGGTGCCACAGTCCTTAGGTAAGAAAAGCATCCCTTAGGGCTGCAGAGATGGCTCAGTAGTTAAGAGCACTGGTTGCTCTTCCAGAGAACCTGAGTTCCATTCCCACCATCCTTATAGTGGCTCACTACCGCCTGTAACTAGAGTTCCAGAAGACCTAATGCCCTCTCCTTGCTTCATGTGCACCAGACATGAATGTGGCATGCAGACACGAAGTGCCAGCCGCACGCCGTCCACACTAAAAAAGAGAAGAAAGGCATCTCTGAGGCCAAGCCCAGCAGCAAGGATGCCCAGCAGCAAGGATGCCCAGCAGCAAGGATGCCCAGCAGCAAGGATGCCCAGCGAGGCTGCAGCTTGCTTTGGAGACAGGAAAGGAGCCGGGGCAGCGCAGTGAGGCCTGGAGGGAGAAAATCCACTCTTCACAGCCCATCACTTCCTTCAATGTAAGCGTTCATTGAGAAAACAACTTCACATTCATCAGGAAACTCTTTCTCTGTTGGCTAGCTTAAATAGTGTCAGAAGGTGTTCTGTGGGCTGCTGGGGAGAAAGGACAAACGGGACCCTGCACGCTGCAACACTGACTTGCTGGGAAATGTGCCCCCTGCATAACAGTGACCTGCAGGCTATGAGAGTAACCATCTGCTGTCTGATTAGAATATGAGGCCTGCTCCACCGCAGGGATGATCACAGGCCCTGGGCAGTGGGCTGGGTGGCTGGGTGGGTGGGAATGACAACCTACAGCTGTTGTTTTACTAAATGGTCATGCTTTCAAACTGCATTCTAAATACTTGTGCTTTTACTCACATATGTGGGATGCTCTCACTGTGGTCAGAGAGGATTCTTTAAGCAGTGGGTAGTGTAATGCAGAGACTCATAACTGGTCTGTGTGCTGGGTATGTATAACTCTTGCGTGCCAGGTGTGATGGATCAGCTGTATCAGCCTCTGGTGTCCAAGACTCAGGAGACTATGACACAAGGAGGGGGTCACATCAGGCCCACAGGCCAGCAGCTCAGGCTGCAGGTTACAGATGGGGAGCACCGTTGACGGCTAATTGGAATGTAGGGAGAAGGGCACCCGGGAGACAGGTGGGAGTCTTTCTAAAGGACAGGTCAGTTGCTATGCTTCTAGTCTGAAACTCCTTCCTCCAGCCAGCTCCCCACCCCTGCGCCTCCTGTCACTGTACATTTGCCACCGTCGTTCCCTGGGGTCAGACACTCCCCCAATTCTAAGCCTCTGTGCATGCTGTTCCCTTTGCTCTTGTGTTGGTTTCAGAGACGTTCCGTGAAGCTGCCCTGACCTGCTGGCCTCCAGGGTTGGGTGTCACTCCATGCGGCAGCAACTCTGTACTGTAAGGATCCCTTCCTCAACAGTCTTTTCTGCCTGGTGGGAGAAGATTCTGGACACTACTACCATCCCCATACTTAGCCCAGATCCAGACACACAGCAAGTGGCAGTAAATATCTGCCAAGTAAACCATTAGTGTCTGTCCTCCAAGTGCCCCACCAAGAACAGCTTTTTTGCCAGACAATGGTGGCTCACATCTTTAATTCCAGCACTTGGGAGGCAGAGGCAAGCGGATCTCTGTGAGTTCAAGACCAGCATGGTCTACAAGAGCAAGTTTCAGGACAGTCTCCAAAGCTGCACACAGAAACCCTGTCTCAGAAAAACAAAACAAAACAAAACAAAACAAAAACCAAGCCAAAACAACAACAAAAAAGAACAGCTTCTCGAATTTCATGACTTGCCTCTGTGTCTTCATACATCTCTCTGCATAAGCCCTCCCCCGCCTTTCCTGCTGGTGCAATCAGTGCATGCCCATTGCTGGTTTGTTTTAAACATATCTGACCAGACTGGCCTCAAACTCGATATGCATGAGGATTGTCTCTCCTTCCTGGTTCTCCTGCCTCTGCCCCACAGGTGCTGGGATTACAGGCATGTGCCACTGTGCCTGGCTTATGTGTGCTGTGGCTTCATACATATGAGACAAGCACTGCACCGACTAAACCCCACCCAGCCATTCTTTAAGACCCAGTACCTCTGTGAGTCCTTTTCTGTATCATGCTTCCCTCTCCTTCATCTCCCACTTACTCACAAACCCTGCCAATTATACTGCAAATGTGTGCTTCTGTGTTTGCAATGCACAGTAGGCTGTGACTCTTCATTGAGCCAGGATGCCACTCTGGGGAGACAGGACTGGATTACAATTCAAACCTTAAAAACTTCAAACGAAGCACCTGTATCCTACTATAAGTTTAAAAGATTTAGCAAACACACCATGCTCTGGAGTGTCCCAGAATAGACTCCATTCAGCCCTATTTCTGCAAAATGCTCCCACTGTTCCACTTCCAAGTGAATTTCATAGTCAAACACATTTGAGACATCAAAGAAAAATCCTCTCCCATTGAGTTTTATAGCTCTCATTCATTCTTGATTTACCTGGTTTACATAGCCTTACTTTTTTTGTTGCCACCAGGATTGAAATGGATGCCTCATACATACTAGACAAATGTACCTCTGAGATACATCCAGCCCTGCTTCGTAGATATTTAATGAGCATCCACTGTGTGCTAGCCCCGTGATCAGTGCAAAGGTATGCCTGGTCCACTTAGGAAGAATTTTTGCCTGCATCTTTAAACTTTACTAGTTTACAGGTCGTAGTTCTCAAGGGGGATGGTCCTATCAGGTGACGCAGTGGTGGTTCAATCTTGCTGTACACTGTGAAGATGTGTCACTCTGGTTGGCTTAATAAAGAGCTTAACAGTCAATAGCTAGATAGGGTTTCCAGGCACAGAGGATTCTGGGAAGAAGAAAGGCGGAGTCTCAAGTCGACACAGAGAAAGCATGACATAGGAGATGAGGTAACAAGCCATGAGCCAAGTGGCAGCCGTAAACTAATAGAAATGGGTTAATTTAAGTTATAAGTGCCAGTTAGAAACAGTCCTAAGCTATTGGCTGAGTTTTCATAATAAGAAGTCTCTGTATGATTATTTGGTGGGACAGGGGAAGACTCGCTACAGAGCTTAGCGTGGAGGAGAGAACTACACAGGCTGGAGTGACTGTCGCTGGTTGCAGGGCAACTGGGTCGCTATTACACTGTCAGGCAAAGGAACCACTACGTAGAACCCTTAACACTTCCACTGCTAGAAGAGAACCAACCAACTCAATAGCCAGAGGGTTTCTGTTTGGACTTCTTGGCAGGTCTTGTCAGAGAATGCGTGTCCACAGTGTCAGCATACACTTACCTGCATTTCTCAGAAAGCGGTTCCGATAATCCTTGATGACCCTGGTGATGGGGTTATAGAAGCCATCTCCGCAATCATAGCAGCCTGAGGGGATTCTTCTAGGCGGGTCCATATTGGTGAGCTGAGAGATGCCTTGAGGAGGCAAAAATGACAGTTAGGCTATTACCAAGGCCATGTGCACCCCTGGCTGCTGTTCATGTGTCTGTGGGACCAAAGGCTGCTTTTGCAGGGCCAGGAACAAAGTCAGAAGGAGCAGGGTCTAGGGAGCTTTTGGGACAGGGGCAGTGGGCAAGGATTTGGGAGCTGGACCCCTGCCTTCTCTGGCCTCACCATTACCCATTTCTTGGGCCATCATGATGGAGTTCTCAAGTCAGAGAAAACCTGGGGTGAGTCAGGGATAGATCCAAGAGAGCAGGTAGCCAGCGTGTGGGTAGAGGCCACAGGTGTGAGCCCTTGGCTACACTCCAGGAAAACTGAGCGCAGAATCTAGATGAGAGAGGGCACCAGAAAAGGGTAGACAGAGCCCTGCACCTGGACTTCCTCCTAAATGGCCACACTGGTGCCATCCATTGCTTTTTGTGTGCTAGACGTTTGGCTCCTCAGAGTAGCCCTATCTTACAGAGACAAGAACTCATATCAGAGGTTGAGTGGTAGACCCATTGCTAGCTAGCAGGAATCAGCCAGGCTCTGGTCCTAAGTGCTAAGTGGCGTGAGGGAAGGAGTGGGTCCGAGTCTGATCCCTAAGTCAGGGGCACTAGAACCCCAGGAAATAGGGGAGAAAAGTATATAGACACTTTAGATCTTGGAATGCCATGGCTGGAGTAACGGGAGATGCTGGAATGTTCTTTTTAGTTGTAAATCTTTAATTTCCCTTTCTCTGAGCAGAAAGTTGAATGCCCACCATGCCATGCTTGCAGGTCTGTACCCTAAAGGAAAACGCTCAGATGTTGTCTAATTATATACTTGACCTTGACCCTAACCAAAACATGTACACTGGCAATGATTACTGAATGCCTTTCCCATACAATGGCTCTGATGCCATTCTATGGCTGAAACTTCAGGCCAGTTGCCACCTTAGGGATGCTTGGAGAAGTCAAGGTCACCCTTATCCATCTCAGTTCTCTCCTCTGTGAGGTAGAACAGGGAAGAGTGACCAGATGGGGCACCCTGGACAATCCAAGAGACAAGACAGGGACTAGAGGGAGCCATCCCACAGAGCTCATGTCCCATCAGTTTCTCCCCTGCTTCTCGAACTCTAATGCTTTACATATTTTTAGCATGACAGCTGTCATGTGCTGTGCACTTGCCATGCATGCAAAGCACTATTCCAGGTGCGAATTTTCTTATTGCCAATGGACTTGTAGGACAGAAAACACGGCTTCCCTGATTTAGATGGGGAAGCTGAGGCACAGAGAAATGGAGTCTCTTCCCCTTGGCCAGCCCAGGGGCCTGAGATGCCACTCCCCTGAGGAGGTTCAGTGGGTACCAGGCAGTCGTTTCAAGCTCCCTTGGTTTCCCTCTCAGTGTGGGGGTGCTACCTGAGGGCTTCAGGCCGAAGCAGATCTCAGTGTGGAACCTCCGGTCATAACTGTCACAGTAGTGCCAGTGTCTGTCCTCATATTGCAGCCCATCAGCAAAGGTATATTTTCCCTGGAAGAGAAGAAGCCTTTTAGGCTCAGTTGGCCTTTCTTCTGCAGGAAAGAAGTGACCGCTCTCACAGTGGCCACGGTTGTGAGCATTAAGGGAAATGGAGATACAGCACCTAACCTGTGTATGACATAGAAAGCATGGAGACTGTATAGAGCTGGGCAGGCAGCCTGCTCTCGGCTCTCAGGGTCCTCATTTATAGGATCAGGATGATGACACTGTCCCCCAATAGGAGTGGCTGGGGATTTGGTGAGATTGGTACATGCTGAGCTTAGCTGGGGAGTATGCGTGCATGTGCTCGTGTGTGTGTGTGTGTGTGTGTGTGTGTGTCTGTGTGTCTGTGTGTCTGTGTGTTTCCTGAAGAGATTAGCATTTTAGTCAGTGGGTTGAGTACAGAGACCACCCTCACCCATACAGATGGGCACTGTCTGACCTGTTAAAGGCCTGCTCAGAACACGGGATAGAGGAAGGGCATTGTACTCTCAGCTGTGTTGGGATACCCATTTCCTCCTGGCCTTGGGCATCAGCATACCTGGCCTCTGCCCGGGACTCACCCCACTGCCTCTCTAGGTTCTCAGCCTGTCAGTTTGGACAAGAACTACAGGTCTGACTTCCCCTGGGCCTCCAGCTTGCAAAGGAGACACTTTAGTCCAGCTGCCATTATCCTGTGAGCCAAACTCTCAATCTTTCTGTGTATCTGTCGGTGCCCTCCTGTTCACCCTTATCTGGGTTCTCTAATGCCCATGGAAGAAACACTTGCACATACTGGTTTTCCTATTATTATTATTGTAGCTACAAAGGCCAGAGCCAGGACGTAGCCTGTTGTCCAGACGTGTGCACTCTGTTCTTGCTTCACAGAGCTAAGGGGAGCCTCAGGATGTAAAAGCACACCAGCCTAGGCATCGGAAACATGGGTGGAAATTCCCACAATACTGTTTGTTCACTGTGTGACCTTGGGCAAGTCACATCCCCTTCCTGAGGCTTAGAGTCCCCAAGCTATAAAAGAAGAAGCATTTCTTGACCTTTTTTTAGGTCATGAGTCAGGCCCAGCAAATGCTCAGGGAAACTCAGAGGAGCACAGATCATTTCCCATAGGAAAGTATAGTTCCATATCCACAGAGGCTTTTGTGTGTATAATTCAGGGGGTTCCACTGACACCAATCATAAGCCCCAAGATCAGAATCTTTGGATTAGATTAGTGGAGGTGGCAATAGTAAAAACTGACACTTACTGAGTGCCTACTGTGTGTTAGGAAATGGCCTCGAAAGCACACCTGTCCCTTTATTTACTGTCAGCACCGGGTGGTAGGCAGAGTTATGCCATCCCACCCTACCCCCAAAGCTGACCACACTGGCAGCTACCTTGCATGGTTTTTTACAAAGAACTTTTCCAGAATCACCCGGTGTGAGGGTCCGTATAAGAGAGAGGTAGAGAGGTCCAGGTGAGAAGACAGGAGAAGTGACTTGGAACTGTAAGCAGAGATTGAAGTGATACCTGGTCCTGAGTCAAGAAACACAGGCAGCTTCTAGAAAGTAGAAAAATGCGAGGAAACACATTCTCCCCTGGGGTCTGCCTGCTGGCCCTGTTCGGACTTCCAGCCCCTAGAATCAAGATCATGGTGAATGGATGCTGGCTTAAGATGGTAAACTGAGGGGTAACCCACCACAGCAGCATTAGAGAGCCAAGATGACTGTCGCTAGTTTAAAACTGAGGGGCATGGGTCAGTGGTGGCGGCACACACCTTTAATTCCAGCCCTCGGGAGGCAGAGGCAGGCAGATCTCTGATTTCGAGGTTAGCCTGGTCTATATACTCATCTGCAGGACAGCTAGGACTGTTACAGAGAAACCCTGTCTCAAAACACACACACACACACACACACACACACACACACACACACACGCACGCACGCACGCACGCACACACACACACACACACACACACACACACACACACAGAATGAGGAGCATGAACTTCAGAGATGTAGAGTTATTGGCCACAGAGCAGACAGCAAATGGCACAGCAGGATGGAGGAGAGCCTAGAGTCCTTGGAGAAGGAGAAGCAGGGAAAGGAGAGAATGGGGAGAGGTAAGCAGCGGGCAAGGCAAGGCAGCTGTGTGCTGCAGCAGGTGGGGGGCTCTTCCTCCCTGAGGACCTCCTGCAAGCCCCAGCTGGTCACCTTTGTCACCAATCCTTTCTCCCAGGTGGCATCGAATCGGCTCCCGCTGGGGAAGAACAGGGTTCCTTCTCCATGGAACATGCCGTCCTTCATTTCCCCAACATATCTTGTATCAGTAGGGAGAATGTACTCCGCATTGCCCTCCATCCTGTAAGGACATGGGGAAGTCACTGAGCTCAGCATGGCAGCTGGGAAGACACTCACTCTTTCCGTCTTTGGATGTCATCACCCCTCAATATTCTGTCAGAGCTTCCTTTGTTTTCATTAACCCCCCCTCCGAAAAAGTTGAAGATGGGGCAGCCTCTGTCTGTCTTCCTCCCCATCCATGCAGACTGTCCTGGACTGTTCTTCGCTGAGAGACTGCCATGTTAGGCCCAGAGAAGGCTGTGGGCTGTGTCAAAGCCACACAGCAGAAAGTGCAGAGACCGCAGCTCAGGCAGCTGGTTCTGCATTCACTATGACCAGTCCAGCCTTACCCTTTAAGCAAACCCTTGTTCTGTCAGCTACGTAAACCACTCTGCACCTCACCTTACTTTTCTCTCCTGTCAAATGGGGATCACTGTGAGGAGGAATGGTGGTGCTATAAAATGTGGATGGTCTTTCTTCGTTCCGTGTTCTCCAGTGGAATTATCTAGAACCCAACTGTGCTGCACTTCCAGAGAAGTCATGATCATGAGGTCAGAGAGACCTTTGTTTTTTCAACAGGGACTCACTCTAGCCCAGGCTGATCTGGAACTCATGTTGCTCAGACTGGCCTTGAACCCATGCCCATCCTCCTGCCTGAGCCTCTCAAATGCTGAGCTTATAGGTATAAGCCACTATACTGGGCTTTTCATTTTTATATTTCGATAAGGTGCAAGCAAATCATGAATTTTAATGTTTTGTTAAAACAGCTGTACTTATGAAGCATAATTGACATGCAAAACTATACACATACTTAAAGTGTACAACTTGTGAGTCTTGACACACATCCTGGAAACTGTCATCCAAGTCAATACAATTACTATGTCCACCAGTCCCAGGGATCTTTCTTTAATCTTTCTTGTTTGTCCTTTCCATTCCTCATCCATAAACAAATACTAATCAGTTTTCTGTAACCATGAATTAATTTATGTTTCTCATAATTTTATATAAAAATATCATAATATGTGCTCCTTGGGGGGGCTTCTGATTTCCTTTATTCAGTATAATTCTTCTGGGATCCACTCATGTTACTGTTATATGAACCAACATTTTAATTGATGTATACTATTCCAGTGAATGGTTATACCACGTTTGGTGGACGTTTGGTTGATTCCAATTTTCAGTTATTACAAAATTTCAGTTATATAAAACTGTTGGAGCACTCACAAACATGCCTTTGTATGGTCATATATTTTCATTTATCAGGATAATGCCTAGGAGTAAAAGGGCTGTCTTACTTCAATGGGGAGTCTACATAAACCAAGTAAGTATTAACTTATTCTATATAAGAAGCTAGTCTAGTTGTTTAAATTCTAAAAAGAAATTTCCTCCTCTCAGACCAAAAAAGAAAATTAACCCACTGGTTATATCTCACATGAAAATGACATCCATGTGTGTCCTGTTACATATCCCTTTGAACTCTCCTCTGGGGTGTGCATTATTCCACCCTTTTTTATTTAGGTTAGAAACAATCGTGTTTCACATATCAACCCTAGCTCCCTCTCCCTTCCCTCCTCCCCTGCCCTCCCCATCAGGTCCCCCAGTCTCCAACCCAATCTCCAGTCCAATCCCCAAGGAGGGTGAGGCCCTCCATGGTGGATCTCCAGTACCTGTCTTTTCATCCAGGGTAGGGCCTAGGCCCTCCCCCAAGAGTCCTAGCTGAGAGAGCATCCCTCATTGTGGGATGGGCACTCAAAGTCTATTTGTATGCCAGGGGTAAATACTACCCAAGGCCCCATAGAATACTTAGGCCTCCTCACTGACACCCACATTCAGGGGTCTGTTTTCCCCCCTTTTAAAGACTAGGAAATTGAGGTATGCCTCAGGCCAAAGGCTGTTTTCTTCACAGTGTAGTTTCTCTCATCACATGCTGAAATTTAAGTAGCTCCAAGGATGACTTAGTTGCCTGTTGCTAAAAATCAAGATTCAGGCAGAGTACATGGCAGAACTATGAAAAGGAGTATAGTCAGCAAAACGACTGTCTCCTTGTGGGTTGTGGGCAATTGAGAGGCTTTCTTCAGGTCTGGGTTTCAGCACTGTGGCTACAGTGGGGGGGGCGCTAGCTGGTGAAAACGCACGGATGGCCTTCTGTTGGTGTCTGGCTGTCTCACTGACTGCATGTGGAGCCCATCATAAAGATGCGTGTGAGTTTTCCAGTCTCTGTGCCTAACTTATCCAATCCTTCATCTCCACCTGACAAAACTTTTGCTGTAACAATGCCTTGTGGGAAGAAGTGATGTGGTTTAGACACAGAACTGGGTAGAAATTCTTGACTCTGTGGATTCATGATGGTGAGCCTGCTGTTGTGCTTAAAAGTTCAAGCATTTGTTTTCAAGATCAGTGTGAACTCTCTCACAGTCATGGAGGTGTTGCGCCCAGCATCTCTGCCACTTCCTGAAGAGTTGCACAAGGGTCCTGAGTCCTCTAAGGCTCCCTCTCCTCCTTTACCATCTCCCCTGCAAAGTTGACTGAAGATTTGAGGCAGCATCCCCCAACCATTATTATCTATGTCTGTGCTCGGCTAGACCATTGCTCCACCGCCTCAAACTGAAAACACCCTGCTTATCTTCCAGTCTCTGTCTGCTCACAGACCCTCCCATCTCTTCATCTCCATCTCCACGGGCCCATGAAGTGCTTTCCACCCCCCAACAACCAGCACTTATGGGTCAGTATACATCCATCTCTGCCCCCCCCCCAGGATCTCCAGCTCTAAAAATACTCCACTTCCTTCATCCAGAGCTGCTAGCAAGGCAAAGCGGCCACCCCCACACGTCCTCTGCGTCTTACCCACAGTGCTCACCTTGATGACGTGTCATAACTGTGCTAAGCTTACCTGCCCCACTGTGTCTGCAGGAGCTTTCTTGAGGGCAGGGATTACGAACAGCATTTGCTGAATAGCATTTCCTATTTTCCTTTGTGTGCGTCATTTTTTAAAAAAGGGTTTATTTTTTATTTTTAATGTGTAGGAATGTTTTGCTTGCGTGTATGTCTATGCACCACGTGCGCGCCTGGTTTCTACCAGAGGCCTGAAGAGGAACTTTGGTTATCGATGGGCTTGAGCCACCATGTGAGTGCTGGGACACACACACACACACACACACACACATACACACCACAATAAATAGAATGAATGAATCCCACTATGCGGCTTATTAGATATGTGTACAAGTGTTCGAAAGCGCTTGGCACAACGCCCTTGACGGAGGCCAAAAGGCAGCTGTCTTCCCCCAGTCCGCAGTGGACTCGCGGACGAATGGGACGTTACCTTCTGTTTACGAACGACCCCACATATTTGCTCCCGGTGTACTGCATGTCAGCAGCTAGTGTCTAGCAGCTAAGACTCCGACTTCAGCGGCCTCGGGGTCACTATGACAACCAGGAGGTGTGGGCGGAGCTCAGACGAAGCCCCGCCCCCGCGAACGTGCTTGACTTCCTGAAATGGCGTCCTCGCGTCTCCTCCCGCGGCCGCCGAGCATCGCGCCTGCGCAAGGCCGGAGACGCATGCGCAGATGGCACAGGGCAACCTGGGAGACCCAAAGGGGAATTGAAGGAGACGGGCGGTTCGGCCGAGGACACCTGGTCGGGGTCGCGGCTGCCGCCGTCATGCCGGGGATAGTGGAACTGCCCACTCTGGAAGAGCTGAAAGTGGAGGAGGTGAGGCTCGCCCTGAGGGCAGGCGGGAGGCCCGGGGCTGCAGCTGCCGGGCGGGCTCGAGCTCGGGCCCGGCGTCGGCGACCTGCACGGTCCCATCCCGCTCCGAGCACCCAGGCCCCCACCGTGACCGGCCTCTCCTGTGAACCCCGGGGACGCGAGCGGCGTCGCCCAGCCCTTTGCCGGACCTCCCCGCGAGGCGAGGCGAGTGAGCCCTCCCAGGTGCCCACCTTCCGCCCAGCCTGTCAGAGATCTCGGCAGGGAGCAGGCCTTGGGCTGCGGCAGCATACAGTGTCTGTAGTACACCGAGGCAGGCGTGGGCCGGGGTGTTTGGTAACAGGATACGAGTAAAGCATTTGCTTCTTCAAGAGACATTTAAATGTTGGTTACGTGCACATGCACTGGGGACTGAGGGACAGGACCCTGTTTCGTAGTTCATAGTTTAATAAGGAGACAGGTAAAGAGGGTGTGCAGCCGGCGGTGTGCCGAGTGTGCACCGCTGACGCCGTACTGTAATCATTGCAGACGTGATCAAGCCACTTCTACAGGTCGGGCTGCGGATTACCCGGGACACGCAGTAAGCTGGTCTTCCCTTGTAGACCAGAAGTAGCCGTAGCCCCCCCCGGAGTAGAAGCGATTTGCCCAAGGTCACACACAGAGTGTGGAAGACTTGGAACGGGGAACGCAGATCTGCCCTGAAGCCTAGACTGTTGAAGCTGTGAGCTGGGGTGCAGCAGGGTGAAAAAGGAGGCGGAGACCATGTGCGTGGAGAAAGCCCGAGCCGTCCGATGTCAGCTTCGTGTTAGTGGTGGGGAAGTCATGGGCCAGGCGGGAGCCGTCTGGACTCGATTCTGTGAGATGGTGGGGAAGGGTGGATGTTGTAAGGCAGAAGGCTGTCACGGCAGGATTTGATAGAAAAAGCCAGGCTGGCAAGACTGAAAATGGTCTGCTGGGAAGTACACACCAGGTGCTGTTAAGTGCTTTTCCCACACTACTTCCTGCAGGCTCTTACAAACCTGTGCAGGTGGCAACTGTTATTTTCCTCAGATGAAGACACTATTGGCTGTACTCTTGGTATGAGTGACATTTACTAAGAGGTGACAAGGGATGTTCCCATGAGCCAGCTTTTTATTTTTCTCCCATCGTAAAACTAGTTAGACATGAGTTGACATGTTTTTTTGTTAGATTTTTAATCGGCTCAGCAAACATTTCATGCAAGAGCTTTCTAATGTATTTTCCTTTAAAGCTTGCACAATTGATGTGTATAATTATGCAGATAACTAAAGTGTAATAAACGACTCACATGATTAAACCTATGAGAAGCAGGCAGGCACGGGTTAAGGAGAAAGTACGATTTGATGCTGGATATGAATTCTAGGCCTAACTACTTTGTCACTCTGCGTAAACTTTTAGCACTTGTAGACAAGGGTGCTTTGCTTGCAAGAGGAGGTGACGCTAACTGTCCTCTGTGAGGACATAAAAAGGATGGAGAAACCACACGTTCGCTTAATGCAAAACACGGTATTTGAAGGCTGATGTGTCATGGGGTGGGATGGAGAGGAAAACTGAGTAGTGGGAGAATAAGGATGAGGTAATGGGGAGGCAGAGGCTAACAGTGGATCCTGGACGCACAGGGGAGTTCAGCCGCACAGGCCCTTCGTGAGGTCTGCTGAGAAGGCTGGGAAGGTGGGTTGAGCCTAGGAAGCCTTGAACAGCAAATGGGAAGTTCTGGTTTTACTCTGCTGCTAAGCGTGGCTCCTTTGGGGAGTTGGTTTCTGATTTGTTGTGGCAGTAGAGTAAAATAAGAATTCTTTTAGGAAGGTCACTTCTGCACTTTATGGAGACTAGGTTGAAGAGTAAGGAACTCAGGAAGACTTGCTTCAGTTAAAGTAACTGAGAAAGTGCTTGGGTGAGCTGGGCTAGCCAGTGGCAGCCCTGCAGCGGGTGACTGCGGCTCCATGCCAAGAGGGCAAGAGTTCACACCTGTCTCAGAATATCTTGTCATCTAACCAAAGATGGTGTTTTCTACATGCAATGAATGTGGTGGATCAATGAAGAGAATGCCGGTGGAAAAGCACATATTTGTTTGCAGAAACTACGAATGCCTTTCTCAGGTTGGCTGTGGCAAAGATTTCTGGGGTGTTGGCTGTAAAGGCCCCGTGAAGTGCATCAGTGAAGGTCAGAAGTATGGAGGCAAAGACTGTGAAGCCGAGACTCGCAAAGGTGACGCGAAGCAGCAGTGTGGATTCAGAAAGTTAACGGGTTAATAAAGAAACCCAGTGTCAGCCCTAAGTAGTTGGAGAACTTCTGCCGCACATCAGTGCTTTTGACAATGTTCCAGAAAAGAGGCAGCGTTTTAGAGCCGGATGAGGAACAGTGACCCTGCTGTGCAGCATCTCCACAGCACCCAGCATCGAGGAGGGTCAGCAGCCTCCTTCAAAGCCGGCGGCACCAGGGAAGAACAGCCGAGCAAAGAAGAATAAGCAAGGGAGGAAGGAGGAGCAGCAGAAGAACAGGAAGAAAGAGCTGAAGTCAGGAGAACCTGAGGGGCCAGGACGTGAGGCTTCTGGGAAGGAGACCACCGAGGCCACCAGGGAAGGAGAGGGCCCAGGGTGGCCATGCCTCAGAAGAGGATGCAGACAGAAACGGGGCCCAGTGAAGATGGTGATGAGGGGCAGACACTCAGAAGTTGAATCTGATTACAAGAAAAAAAAGATGATGTTGTCAGGACAGCCTGAGGAGGGAGAATCCAAAGACCATGGCGTTCCAGGGAAAGGGAAACTCAAGTGGAAGAGACCATCAAAGCTGTTCTGAATCAGGCCCCAGACACCGAGATATCAATCAGAAAGTCGAAGAGTTATAGCTCAGTCCTGTGCAGTGATGAGCAATCATCACACGTCAGAAATCTTTCCCATAGTCAACCGGGGCTACACAGAGAAACCTTGTCTCGAAAAAACAAAATAAAACAAACAAAAAATCCCAAAACAACAACAAAAATATTCCTCGGTATGTTGATAATTTTGAGCAAAAATTAAGCCAGCACTGATACATTTTAGTGTGAGGAACATTCTTAGCATTTTTACAGGTATGAGTTCATTAGATGCTTACAGGGCCCTATGAAATAAGACCTGCTGTAAATGAAGTACTAAGCAGGATGGGGCATGGTCTGTGGAGGCAGTGCCAGTTCTGAAAGGTACGGCGGCTTCGCTGTGACTCTGTCCGCGGGAGCCTGCACTGCGGTGACTGGGATGGTGAGGAAAGGTGCTGGAATTGTGTGTTCTGGGGACAAAGGATGCTGCATGAACTTGAGAGGGGACTGTTGGACTTCTTCAGCTATGAAGATGACTGCAGTAAATACCCCGCCCTGCTCTTTAAAGTTGAGGCTTGAGAAGTTGCCCATGGCAGAGCTGGTGGTCAGTGTGTGGCCGGAAGGCTTTAGTAGGACAGTAAGATTGAAATATTAGAAGAGAAACAGAGTAGCCAAATTGTCTGAAAAGCAAGGATGGAGATGAGTTCTCCCAGACAGCAGAATGCTCGTCAGGCTCCAGTAACTGAAGCATTGTGGCTTGCACCTAGGCTAAGACTGTAGAGCAGGAAGCTGGGTCCTGTACTCTGCCAATCCTTATGAGCTACCTACGGCTGCTCTGCAATGCTTCTCAAGAAAAGTGCTGGAAGGCAAGCAGGGGAGTCAGGCCTGGTCACAGTTCTAGAGTTAGCATGAGTGTGCGCAGGTTAGGGTTAGGGTTTTATTCTTAGTAATTGCCAGACTGTGAGCTCTTCTTTTCCTTGATTCCTCTGATTTCCCAGCTCTCTGGGAGTTTCATATAAGTGTCCTTATATGATTTATTTAATTCCTGCAGAGGAACCTTAGCAACACTGACAGAGTTACTTTAAGCAAGATTCTGTTAGGCTCACCATCTTCACCTTTTAGAGAAAACGGGGGCTGGTCCTGTCAGCCTAGTGAGACCCAGGGAGAGCCTAAAGCACTCAATTGTACCTGACTTAGTGTGTGACTCCCACCTACATCGCTTTTCCAGGTGAAGGTCAGCTCAGCCGTCCTTAAAGCCGCTGCCCATCACTATGGGGCTCAGTGTGATAAGGCCAATAAGGAGTTTATGCTGTGCCGCTGGGAGGAGAAGGACCCCAGGCGCTGTCTGCAGGAGGGCAAGCTGGTCAACAGCTGTGCGCTGGACTTCTTCAGGTAAGACTCCCCTGAAGGCAGAGCCTCTGTGAGTTGTAACATCGAGGTATTCTGAAATATTCTTCAATGAGGAAGTGACTTCCAGCTCGTTCAGTAGAGTTGCAGGTATGCAGGTTTTGAAGTCAGTTGTTTGTTTTGGACTTGTTTTTATAAGGCAGGTTCCTTCATGAATCTCAGTTTTCATCTGTAAAATAGAGTCTGTCCTCTGCAGTGTTGCAGTAGGTGTTGTGAAAAGGTGTGCTCGACCATCTCAGCCCAATGCTTGTTGACAGACAACAGACAGTTGTGATGGTTAGGAAAGCCCTGAGTTGGTTTTTAGGTGGGCCGCTTTGCTCAGTACGCAGACAAGCCCAGGTATGTGATTAGCTGAAAAATGCTAGTTGGGCCTGGTGTTGTGGTCTTGTAATCTCAGCAGTCAGAAGGTGGAGGCAAGAGGGTCAGTCAGCAAGGGTAGCCGTGGCTACATAGGGAACTGGAAGCCAGTTTGGTTCAGTCAGCCTAGCACTCACCATGAAGTCCTAGAACATTCATTCTTGATCAGCTCCCAAGTGCTAGGCCTCCAGT